AGAAACATAAAGTACATTCAGTCTTGGGTTATCTGTGCAGGACTTCATGAAAATAGGAAAAAGTTAAAACTGCTCTCTTTTTTAAATTGCGAGGACACCTCTCCAGAAATGCCTTTCTCTCCTACACAACTTTATAGTGAACTTTTTACAGAGGTTGATCATAGAATTGCATGAAAGACGTACAATACATAGAAAAAGGATCTCTCTAGGTCCAGTGCAACTCCTGCAGAAGTTAACCATAGAGTTATACTGTAAGACACATGGAGTCTTAGAGAGAATATATTAATTGAATCCATATATAATTAGATCCACAAAAATGAAACCCACAAATGTGAAGGGCTGACTATAGTTCCCTAACTTAGCTCACCTGGCTTTGTCTGCTGCCTTTAACTCTCCCTTCCTCTGTAAACAACAAAACAATAGATTATCATGCCTCTTTTCCAGATCCTCTGTCTAGGCTTGCCCGCTATCTGAGAGTCATATGTATGAATTTCTCCATTAGCCTTGGCAAAGGCATGCACTAGTTGATTTGTTGTAGTGAAACAGACACACTAGTTATGGTTCAAAATAGGGATTCAAGGTATTGTACAAGAATCAAACATCAATAGGAGCATAGTGTCTAGATCTAAGGAAGTAATGCTACCCCTCTATTCTGCTTTGGTTAGACCACATCTGGAATATTGTGTCCAATTCTGGGCACCACAATTCAAGAGAGATATTGACAAGCTGGAATGTGTCCAGAGGAGGGAGACTAAAATGATCAAGGGTCTGGAGAACAAGCCCTATGAGGAGCGGCTTAGGGAACTGGGCATGTTTAGCCTGAAGAAGAGAAGGCGGGGGAGGAGATATGATAGCCATGTATAAATATGTGAGAGGAAGCCACAGGGAGGAGGGAGCAAGCTTGTTTTCTGCTTCCTTGGAGACTAGGACGCGGAACAATGGCTTCAAACTACAAGAGAGGAGATTCCATCTGAACATGAGGAAGAACTTCCTGACTGTGAGAGCCATTCAGCAGTGGAACTCTCTGCCCCGGGTGTGGTGGAGGCTCCTTCTTTGGAAGCTTTTAAACAGAGGCTGGATGGCCATCTGTCAGGGGTGCTTTGAATGCAATATTCCTGCTTTTTGGCAGGGGGTTGGACTGGATGGCCCATGAGGTCTCTATGATTCTATGATTCTATGTTTGTAATTATTAGTTCTAGGGCTTGAGCAACATCCAATGTATGGACCTTGTGTGGTTCTTACTTTTCTGTGGCAATTTAGACTATAATGTATAATCTTGTCCAGTCTCCTTTTCTTTTCATGTGGAGTGTTGTCTCGTGTATTTTGACTGATTTCACCATTGGGCAAAGGAATGATAAATAGAATATTTATGGGATTGAATGTCACTTGCGCTCTTATGCTTAGCAGCCTGCCAATGCAAACTCTGCAGAAATTCATGGTTGAATACAGCATATCTTAATCATCCATTTTATGGACAGAGTTGGGTAGACTAATTTTGGATAGTAAAATATACCATTCATCATCACATGTCTGATATTAAATACACTGAATAACTACTACCCAGATCAGTCCTAAGAAGCCTGTTGAATTGATTAATTCCTGCTTTTTCTTATGTATTTGTGCTATACATATCGTTAAAATGCGGAAGGAATAGATCTTCTCCCTGTTTGCACAGTATATTTTCTTCTATGAAATTCCTGGATCACCATAAGGCAGTAGTGAAAATGAAGGCACACCCACCCAACCCACCAATTAATCAAATACCCTCATTTCTTCCCAGCTCCTTAATATCACTGAACAAAAGTCTAGAGTGGAATAATAAAATAGGTTGTCCACTGCCAAGCACTGCTGATGCCCATTTTCTACCATGGAGTAAGGAACCATGGAGCCCTGCAGATGTTGTTGGACAGCAACTCCCAGTGGCCTTGGTCAGCATACCTAGGAACTACAGTTTAACAAGATCTGTGAAGACACATGACCCTGACATTTGGTCTACCAAAAGGACATCCCTACTTGACTCCAAGAAAAAAGCAGGAGGAATGGAGCTTCAAGGATACAAAGTCTAGACATTTCTAATTTATGTTAGCTTGTTTATGTTACATGACTCTCAAGAAATGAAAAATAGAAAGCATTCCAGAGAGCATTCAACCCTAAGTAATAATTTTTTCTACTTCCCCCTAAGCACTAAATGAGCATCATTAACATCCCACTCGGGTTCTGTTTGTGCACTGCATGGGGGTTTATAAGGCATAGCTGCCAAAGGTTAAGTGTTATAGCAAGCTTTCTGTTTAATGGCTTTTAGCCAGCTAAATGTTGGCAACCACTTGAATGTAATCTTTCATAAATAGGAAACACATCTCTAGGCACACACTTAATATTTGTGAGACACTAGGCAATGCCAAAAAAGTACAGGTTGGGTTTCCCTTAGCCAAAATGCTTGGCACCTGAAGTGTTTTGTTTTCCAGATTTTTTCCGGATTTTGAAATATCTGTATTTGCTTATATGTATATATTGAGATAACTTGGAGGTGAGATCCACATTTAAACAAAAAAAATCATTTTTGTTTCATATGTACCATATATACAGGGTGCAGCAGCATAATCAGAATTTTTTTATAATGTAGGTGCATACCAAAAGTTTTGTTTTACGTAGTTTTGAAGATCAAATGAGGTAGGTGATGTCCCCAATTCTCCATACACTGAGTAAACCGATTTCTGGTGTTTGTCATGACTCTTGCCAGCATAGCAGGCGTTATGTTGGCAATTTCTTCCTGGATGTTGGTCTTCAAATCTTTTATGGGGTTTTTTGAAATCCCGTGTTTATGTGAACTGTCCAAGGACCCTACAAGATTTGAAGACCAACATCCAGGAAGAAATTGCCAACATAATGCCTGCTATGCTGGCAAGAGTCATGACAAACAAAATAAACCAGAAATTGGTTTATTCAGTGTATGGAGAATGGGGGACATCACCTACCTAATTTGATCTTCACAACTACGTAAAACAAAACTTTAGGTATGCACCTACATTATAAAAAAAATTCTGATTCATACAATGGGATTTATTAGGTTTTGAAAAAAGGAAGTTATGCTGCTGCACCCTGTACATCACCTGGAGGTAATTTTATACATAATACTTTAAATAATGCTGTGCATGAAACAAGGTTTCTTGACAGTGAACTACCAAAAACAGAGGTGTCCCTGTCTCAAGCCACCCATGTGAACAATTCTAAATTTTGAAGTATTTTGAATTTCAGAATTCTAGATAAGGGATGCTTATTCTATAAGGGAAATAGAAGCTGTGTCATGAAATTTTGGATTTTGTCATTCTTGAAATGCACTGGGACTTTTAAATATTGGTCATATTTCTGAAATGTCAGGTTGGAAGTAGTGAATTTGGAGCAATGTGGTCACATGTAACTTCTTACATTTGCCTTTCAAATGCAGCAAACAAGTGTGAACAGCATTAGCTATCTCATTTTTTTTCATATAATGACTCATGTTTCCTGGGTTAAATTTAAAGTTACCCTTTAAAGACATTATAGGCATTTGTAGAGGCCTTCTGAAATGAGCAGTCTATGTTTATTCCATTCTCTTATCAGTTTGCAAAGGATTAGTAGTATAACGGCCAACAAAACAAGTTCTCTACTATCCACACAGTTAAGAATTACTTTGGGTTTTTTTATTTTAAAAGTTACATAATGAATTACTTTTGAGAAGTTTTCCAACCTCAATTCAAGCAAACTGGGATGGAGCCAAGTTGTTTACATATTTTGCACCTAGTGGAAATGAGGTCTGTTGTCAACAGATCAGAAGCAGCAAAAAACAAACTGTATTTTTTCAGTGATGACACATTTCATTTGAAAAAGCAATACTTCTACTTGCACAGAAATTTTCCAAACAGTTAAGAAGTGTTTGGTTCCCCTTGAAAAGATTCCATTTAAAGCAGGGGTAGAACTCGTGTAGTGATTTAGGTGTTCCACTACAACTCTGGAGAACAGGGTTCAAAAAAAAATCATTGGATGGCCCTTGATAAGTTATACACTCTTAGCCTTCCAAAAAACTGTGATAGGGTCTCCTGAGATAGGGTTTTCTTTAGTTGGCAACAATGAACAAAAAATAAAGACGTGCAGAACCTATTTTCCTAGCCATACTTAATGTTGAGGAGACCTGGAAGCTGCAGTCTGGCAACATTTGAAGGGCTGTGCTTTGGATGTTCTTGCATTGTTTGTTGTTTGCCATAATTTTGTTTATTTACCAATAAACCAGTAATAGAGTGCATCTCAACTACACCCTATCCCTGTATCTTCACTACATAGTTCAACAGTTCAATACCACTTCAGCTGTCATAGCTTCATCACACAGGGTCCTGGGATTATGTATTATGTGAAAAAACCTAAATTGTTTTCTAAACAACTTTAGCACATTCCCCAGAATTACAACATTCTATATAGCCTAGTATTCTGTAGGATGGAGGCACGGCAGTTAAAATGATATTATCATCCTGTCATTGTGTAGTATAAATGCACCCAACAGAGCTCTCACTCCTATTTAGTGTTGCCTGGAAATGGAGTGTTGGGCACCAACATAAAACACAGTTGAATGAGTTGTTCAAAGTATGCTGCAGCCATCAAAATGATAACTTAAACTATTATAGATTAAATTTCCTTTAGTGCTGGTGTGGAAAATTGCAAAAGATTGGACAATTTTTCTCCCTCCCCACAAGTAGTATTGGAGTGGTGGAGATTAAGGAGAGGCAAGCTCCCATTTTGGGACAGTTTGAGGATAGGAACATGCACTGAATGTGTCTTGATTTTTTTTAATTGTTTGGTGACAAGGTATCAAGATTTGTGATGTCAGGTTGAAGGACCTCCATTATACCCCATCAGTTCTATTTTTGATTTCAAATAAAATTAATGTTTGAATGGATTGGCATGTTGTTCTAATCCTTATTACAATAATGTGATATTTTGTATTTTTCTTCTTCTTCTCTATAAACCAGGCTACCCAGTACATGGGACTGATTTCCAAAGAAATGCAGCCGGTGGCAGGCACAGAAGGTGCTTATTATCGTCGAAGGAGGTTGATGAAACAACTTCCTATTTATGACCAGGACCCTTCCTACTGCCATGGCCTTGCAGAGAGTGAAATAAAATTGATGGAAGACTTTGTGAAGAAATATAAAAACGACGCTCTTGGCGTTGGTGAGGTTGCACTGCCAGGCCAAGGGGGAGCCACCAAAGAGGGTGGAAAACAATCTGACAAAAACATCACTGCAGGCAAGGAAGCCATTTCAACCAATGGAACCCTGAGTGAGGCACCCAAAGGGCAAGAACTAGTAAGTCCTCAAATGCAGCAAACTGGAGACATGAAATGCCAGCATATTTGTTCATTTTTGTTCATTTGTTTGTTTCTATCATGCTTTTCTTTCGCAAATGATGATGGATCCAAAGATGGTTGGCTGGAACTCAAACACATTGTTTTATTGCATCCTTTGGCCTAATCAGATTGAGTGAAGAACTAAATTAATATGGGTGGCAAAACATATTTTCTTTGCAAAGTCTTAAGGAGTTGTAGAAGTTTTGCCTTGACTCATAGTTCAGATCCTTGGAGTTTTAGCAGGATGCTCTTTTCCATTGTATGGTATCCATTTATTTATTTAATAAAATATTTATATGCTACTCTAGATCTGAGGATTTCAGGGCAGCATGAAATCAATCTGAACAGTACTGTTTACAATAGTAAGAGTAACTGAAAGGCTAGAAATTATAACACAATAAAATTGCATCAAGCTTGCCAAAACCCAAAACCAGGAGAAGTTGTAAAGACATGCCACTAATAGGTGAAAATTGTAAGAATAGGGCTGAATGGCAGAACCTGGCCCTTGTATGGGCTAATATTAACCAGAAAAACCTTCTGCAGGCCACCCCCCCACCCCACCCCCCACCAAAGGGGAAGCCCAGCCCCTCCCATAGCCTCACACAATTCCCTAGGAGGAATGTGAGGCTGGTGAGGGGCCTGAGCTTCTCCCTCGGTGCTCTGCTCATCCATGGGAAAAAGGGAAGGCCTTTGTGGGCCACATCTGGCCCATGGACCATACATTGTACAGACCTGGAATATGGTAAAGTGTCCAAAATATATACAGTTCTGTGGTTTCTAGTCTGCAGGTTCTGCATGGTGTGGCTGTTCAAATGGGAGGATACAAAGAAGAAAAAATAGTCTTTCTCATTTTTATATTACATATTGAGTAGCTACATCAGGGCAAATATTGTTTTTCCTCCTTCCTTTTTGGCAAAAATGACTTACTCACTGAAGGCAAAAGCTTCCTATAAAAGCATTTGTGAAAACTATATTGGCGTGGAGGATTTATTTTGACTTCAAATTCATCCTTTCAAGTAAATACATATCCTCAGTGTTTATTTTCCAAAAAAATATGAAAGCTTTATTTTTAATGTGGGGACCAGTGGAAAAGTTAGTGTATTTTTGAAAAATAATTATAAAAGCCCAATTTGTGCAAATCTGGCAGACAAAAATAAAGCCAAGATCGCTCTGCAAAATTCCACAGATGTCTTTGGCATTTGAAAAATTAGAGTAATGTTTTTTATGGATTAGAAGAATGGCACTGATGTGAATGCTTGTTTTTATATATAACATATTAGAAGTAATAGTATTTGGGGAGACAATTCCCAAAGTATGTATTAATAGTAATTTCATAAATGCTCCTACAATATTAAATATTGAAAAATAGCAAAGAAAGTGTGCTTGCTCTTCTGATTTTTTAGGGAATGTTTTCATAGTTGGCAGGAAGGATCCAAACATCCACTGATATCTCTAGTTCCTTGAAAATATTTACAATTGAGGTTCGCTTTTCAGAAATCATGATAATCTAAACCTTGAGCCTCACAATGTCAGTGGCCCTAGGCCCACAAGATTTCTGTGTAATATATAACCCCTGAATGATTGTCCCTATGAAAAGTCTGTCCTTTTCAAAAATACATAGGATGAAGTTATTTTTCATTATAACCACCAAAACAAAGAAAATATAGTGTATGCCAGATTTTTTTGGATCTAATAAGACAAGGGAACACTTTGTTAAATACACAGAATCAGAATTACCTTAGCAAATTTCTTTGATCTGGCACTTTTTCCAATGGAGCTTTCTGTGCCATAGCAAAAAAAAAATTACTTCTATTCTGTCTATTTTGTCTTGGCTCTGTTGAAAGAAAAAATAGTTGCACAAGGAGGAAGCAGAGTCATAAAAACCTGTTTTCCATCCAGTGCAAAACAGCTAATCAGAATTAGATTCTGTTCCACAGCATTCCTTGAAGCCAACAGTAGTCTAATAAATGAGAAATGTGAAGTACCAACACTCGTCCAGATGCAGTGATTTCAGTTTTTTGAGCATTACAAAAAACAAAATAAAAAACACTGATCATAGTACCAAATCATGATCCTAGTTCTGTTGAAAAACCTGAAGTGTAATTCTGTATATGTCTAATTCCCTTCTGTTTCCATGGGGCTTACTGCCATGATGTTGTGCCCGAAGAGCCATTACGATGTAGTGGTTTTATGCATTGGACTATGCTCAAACCACTACACCTGAGGACCTGAGCTCAAATCCCTGCTCAGTCATGGAACCCCACCAAATGATATTGAACAAGTTACACTATCCCAAATTCAGAAGAAAGCAAAGTCAACCATTTCTGAATAATGGGAAATTATACAACAAAGTGTGTATACTCAGAGTGGGCACAGAGTGGCTCTAGGGTTATATGTCTAGAAAACTATTCCGTATGGTCATTTGCCACTTTCCTTGATCCCTGGAGATGGAGCCAATTAATTTTGTAAATAGTTGACAGAAGACTCTTGGAATATTGAGCACATATCTGGATTTTTTTTGAAATGGCAGTGAATTTCCATCCATGTTTCTTTTCTTTTGGGGTAATCTTTGTGGCAATCTGAAGTTTCCAGTTTCCCAGGCCTCTTAAGCCACCACACTTGCCCAGAATAATATTAAATCATTCAAAATGATGATAAAGTTTTACATACAACATGGATACAATTAGAAAACTATTCCATATTACCAATTAGTTGCTACGCATTTCTTTAAATCTAACGCCCTATGGGATGAGAATTCTGAAGTGTAGGAGCAACTATCAAAAAAATCCTCCAGGTGTCCACATCAGATGGTTGATGACAATATTGGGACTATGAAGAAGGCCTTCCCCAAGGGTATGAAGACAGAGGCAGGCCTGTACACGGAAATGCTGTCTTTCGGACAGTCTAGACATAAGCTATATAGGGCTTTGTAGGATATACATAACTAACATTTTGAATTTTGCTCAGAGACAAACTGATAACTGGTGACTCTGTTTCACCATCACAGGGTTGCTCTTGTGTGTGTTGGTATACTCATATTAACATCTCAGGTACACAGTGATCTTTGGAATGTTGCTCAGGTTTTGTCAGTATATCGTGCCTGGTTCATACCTATCACTGTAACATGGAGGAAGGTTGTGTGCAATCCCTTCTGGCAGTTCAGTCTTATATACAGGTCCGTCCAAAAATGCCTCCACAGGACTACACATTTCTCTCTCTCAGCCCGTGATTCTGAGGGCAATCTTTTAGTCTGCCATCCCAAGAGGATGTCAGGCCAGAAAATCGGCCCCTAGCTAGGATTAAGGCTAGCAGGTATAACTTTTCTGAAGTCTGTAGTCTTTTGTGGAAGTTCATGTACTGAGTATCCGGGCCTTTGTGAGTTCTCCTTTAGATTCTCTGGGAGAAACAGCTTTAGGCTTTTGAAAAAACATTCCAGCATTGCCCAGGCTTTGCTTCACAGGAAAAGGGTGGTGTGTATGCCTGTGGCAGGGAGAGATGTCTGTGGAGATCCTATTTATTTTCCTTTTCAGTGAAATAAAAAATTGTAAATATTATCTGAGGAAGGATTCATTGGTATGTGATAAACCACACATTGAAAAAATGTTTCCGTAGTGAATGCAAATGGTCTAAGCACAGTCTTTTCTCTGTACATCTGGGAAATTATGCACTCTCCTTTGAAACATTCTGTCTGGAAGCCTGTAATGAGCCTGTCTGCTTTAGATAACCTTTGGGGGAGAGTTTTCTTTCCATCCAACCGCCTCACCTATCTGGTGAGCATGTGGGAGTCTTCTCAAGGCTTTCTCCTGGGCTATGGAGCAGCCTTTTAAGGGAGGTTGAGTGGCCTCCTCTCTGCTCTTTTCTTGCCAGCAAGCAAAGGTCCTCTTATTTAAACAGTGCCTTCAGCCTTTGACTGGTTGTGGTAGAAGAATGCACAATGAGTACACTTTTTGATTGCTTTTAAAAACAAAATTGTTTTAAATAATATTTTAACTGGATCAAATGTATAAAATACTTAAAATGTGAGCATCACATTTTTAGATATTTTGTTTTATCTTATGGCTAAGCCACTTTGGGTCCCATATTGTGAAAAAAATGTGAGCATAAAGCAAATCAGTACATAATGTTGAGGATGAAGGTATTCTCTTTTTGCTATGCCTTCCCCTTATCTCTGATCAGATTATGAATACTTTTCCATTTTAAATAGCTGACATTCAAAATTTAAAACCTGAGCATCTTTTTGGAAGCATTCTCTTTTGCTGAGCAGTTGGATAATTTTTGAGCAATTTGTCCTTTAAAACCAATAAGAACATGTTAGCCACTTTGGGTCTCTTTTAAGAGAGATAGAGTGGAATAAAAATCATAGTCATCATCCCTCAAACATATAAAAACACACTTACCTCATACCAAATCCCCAGAAACGTCCTGCCAATGATTCCTTTTTTCTTTGTAGTTCCTCTCAGAATGGTCATAGTCATGTTGATATGAGGGGTATTGTGTAGTTTCCAGGCTGTATGGCCGTGTTCTAGCAGCAATTTCTTTCGACGTTTCACCTGCATCTGTGACTGGCATCTTCAGAAATCCTCTGAAGTTGTCAGCCACAGAAGCAAGCAAAACAACAGGAGAAAAGGCTGCTAAAACAAGGCCATACAGCCCAGAAACCACACAACACCACAGTGATTTCGGCTGTGAAAACCTTCAACAATACATGTTGATATTATATTTGTGCTGTGCTTGGAACAAAGCATTTGATGAAACACAAACCTTCCCTAATACATCAAATTTTCTGCTTCATTGTTTGCCTTATAAGGATACTATTTACATTTCCAGGTTTCATAGTTCACAATTGCGAACCAAATCAATATGCAGCCAATAGCAATATGATTTTATAGAGAGCCTGGATCTAAAAAGTATAGATTCTTATAGGTCATAACCAGCCTTTCCAACTATTTTCAGAAATAGACCAAAAACCAGCGGAGGTGTAACAATGAGTTTCCATTCTCTCTGTATATAAATGCAGTTTATCATGTTCCCATGGTCTTCATGAGTCTAGTTTTGTTGAACTACAACTGGATCAAAGTTAAGGAGCTTGTTGCAATTCTTGCAAATGAATGAAATTAACATTTATAACACTTCTAGCAGTTTGGTATAATAACATTCAACCATTATTAACAAGTGATCACTCTATACCTCTTTGTTTCTTTATGCTAAACCAGACTTCATCACAGAACAACCACTGGTGCAATATACGGGTGAGCTTTTAAACAAAATACAGTTACTCATCCTACTAGTTGCAACAACAACAACAGCATTTTATTTATATTCAACTCTGTCTCCCCAAGGAGACTTGGAGCAAATTACAACATACACAAATAGACATTCAATGCCTTTTAATACAGTTGAATAACAGTGACATACAAATACACAGAACAAAGGTAAAGGCTTTCCCTTTCATCTCTGGCTTTCTGAAGGCAGTGATCAATGGTGGCCATGGGAAGGTGCTTTTGTTCCATTTCCAAGGTGAGGAGCCTGTTGTCCTTAGACACCTCCCTGGTCGTATTTTACCTGCATGGGCATTTATAGTTATAGTTCCACAATTTCTGTTAAACAGAAGCAGTTACTAAACGATGTCTCATGCTAGTAGCCCCATTATTCAGCAACACCCTGGAAAGAATTAGCCTAGGAATCCAGAAGACTGTATTGGCGAATGCTTTCATGACCGGAATAACTGGATTGTTGTAGGTTTTTTGGGCTATATGGCCATGTTTTAGAAGCATTCTCTCCTGATGTTTCGCCTCCACCTATGGCAGGCATCCTCAGAGGTTGTGCCATAGATGCAGATGAAACGTCAGAAGAGAATGCTTCTAGAACATGGCCATATAGCCCAAAAAACCTACAACAACCCAATCCAGAAGACTGGTCATCATGGTTTATAGCAGGGGTCCTCAAACTAAGGCCCGGGGGCCGGATGCAGCCCTCCAGGGTCATTTACCCGGCCCTCGCTCAGGGTCAACCTAAGTCTGAAATGATTTGAAAGCATACAACAACAAAAACAATCCTATCTCATCAGCCAAAAGAAGGCCCGCATTTCCAATTGAAATACTAACAAGTTTATATTTGTTAAAATTGTTCTTCATTTTAATTATTGTATTGTTTTAAAGTGTTTTTTGCACTACAAATGAGATATGTGCAGTGTGCATAGGAATTCATTCATGTTTTTTCTAAATTATAATCTGGGCCTCCAGCAGTTGGCGGGACTGTGACCTGGCCCTCTGTTGAAAAAGTTTGAGGACCCCTGGTTTATAGTATGGATACTTTTCCTAGAGTCCATGGTATTGTCCTTTGCATCAGCCATTAGGACGTTCTATCTACTTGTTCGTATTTCAGTGTTGCTCTCAAGTAAGCAGCCATTTGTATTCCCTCATGATGCATGATTTCACAAGTAATGCTTTTAACTAGAGTGCCTTGTTTCTGAAGATAGCTAATGCAATGTAGAAATGCATTTCTGTGCTGATGCATTCACAAGAGAGCAGAACAGAGAAATACTTGTAATGTGCACTTTGTTCAGTTTGTGTATCCTTTCCCATTTGGGTCTCAGGCTTATGAAAATGGAGTGCTTTTAACTGACAATTGTTGAAGCACCCTTAGAGCAGGTCAACACTCCTTGGAAGTCACTGAAATGGTCTCTACTATAAGTTGCTATTATCTACATCAGCAGTGGGCTAAGTGTGCCTCTCTACTCAATAATCTGTAATCATTAGAATAGTAGTTAGGTTAATGGGAGTTACAATTCCCTCCACCCTGCATTGTATCATTTTGATTTTTATTCTTGTGCTAAGTTTTTCTGGAGGCTGCTGACAAAAGCACCGAAAGCCTGCATACAGTAATGCTTATTTATACATAAAGCTTCAGTACATTGTATAGTTACATATTGAGGCTGTTGTAAATGCTTTCTATTTGAAAATCAAATTTATTGTAATCTGGCCACAAGTTACGGTGAATAAGAATGAACAGACTTGGAGGAAATTGTTTCATGTTTGGCTGTGAGCTAGATGAGAGGGATGTTTTTCATTGCTTACTAGAATCATTTCTTTCCTAGTTCTGTGACCTCTGCAAGCAACAATTACCCATGGAGCGTCCCGTGGTGTATGCAGACAGAGCCGGCTACAGTCACCAGTGGCACCCAGTCTGCTTTGTATGTTCCAAATGCTCCGAACCACTCGTCGATCTGATTTACTTCTGGAACAATGGGTCCATCTGGTGTGGCCGCCATTACTGTGAGACTATAAAGCCACGCTGTGCAGCCTGTGATGAGGTAAATAGCCAGAGAAGTGGAAGCATCCTATCCTTCTTTTGATTAATTTTGAGTAAATGTGGGATGGTGCCAGGGTTAGAACTCTTCAACAGTTGAAGATGATGAAATACATGTTTAGCAAAATCCAACAAAATCCATAAAACTCAAGCTAAAACTCTCAACTGTCCTCTGTTTCTTTATAGTTGTTCACAAGGGATCTGACTGGAATAGGATGTGCTGAATGCTTTTGTGTATTGTGCCCAGTCACCTGTTGTTCTTTTGTAAATTCTATATAAGAAACCCACATTTCCACATTCCATTTTCTGCTTTTTAGCTCAATGTCACCTTGGGTGTGGGATCAGAGCAAATTCTGCCAGCTAACCTTCCCATATTTGCCACTTTGTCTGAATTTAACCGTGCAGAGACTGGAATAGATTTTCTGTTTCACTAAAAATGCATTGAAAAGTTTACCATAGAATTTATGGCTCTTTCTGTTTTCCGTTGTCTCAGCCATTCCATTGGACTGCAACATAGGTGGAGATGCACACCTTGGTGGTGGTAATTGGCTGTGGATAAATCTTTTGTACCTACATAACAGGAGTTTTTTTGAAATTCTGTGCTTTTAATGAATTCTTGAATTGCACTGGGCTACATGCATCTCCAGAAAAATTACACTTCCAAGAATTTAAATATAGAGAGCTGAAACAAACTTCATGGAGATAAAGATAAATCAAAACAAGTTAAGAAGTAATTTTCCTGGCAGCTGAACTATTTGAGAAGTCCCTGTTTACATTAAGCATACATACACCTATAAAGAAGTCAACATTTTATCATCTGTTGCCTTCAGTGTAACATGCATCTATTTGCAGTTGCCAAAACCAATGGCAGTTGTCTTTAGTTTCAATTTTATTCTAATTAACAGATGCTTGATAATTGTTGTTCTGTATGTTAACTTGTTCTGCATTTTAACAAAACTGCAATACTCCCATATGTTTACACATTCTCTGAAGTACAGCCTTTCTATGCAATGCTTGAATAGCAATGATGAGTTCATTACTCTTATTTCATACGCAGCATGGGTTGTCAACTACTGTGTGTGTGTTTTCATAATGAAGGAATTATAAGACTTGGCTGACATTAGGAAAAGGACGACATGATAAATGGAGTTGTTTACCTCCACAGATAATATTTTCTGATGACTACCAGCAAGTTGAAGGCCTCGCCGTGCACAAACAACACTTCACCTGCCTGGAGTGTGAGACCTCACTGTTTGGCAAACCGTTTATTCTGGATGGAACCAAATTCCTGTGTACAACTTGCAGTACAAACAAGCAACCTTGAACAACGTGTAGTTTCAAATCACAACAAGATCATTTTGTCAAATCAGAGGGGAATCAATGGAGCTGAAATGATGTGATGGAGGATTTAAGCAAATAAAATTACATTGGATGTAATCTAGTATTGTATTTACATTCACATAATTGTACAAAACAAGATGAAAAAAATGTAATATAGTAGAAAATGCATTGTGATAAAATTAGAAAATTGAATATGCTAGGTTTTTTCCCCTAGATAGACATTAATTATAGCTAAATGTGCTAAAACCCATACTCAGAAATGTTTGGTTTTTCAGCAGCAACATTTTACCAAGCATCTAATCCAGAATGTCTAGAAGCACTGAGAATTCTTCATTTTGCTGTCATGCCCTTCTACTTTTCTTGTTAAAGTGCTACATTTGTAAATTCAACCATGACACCAAGCAACACCAGCCAAATTAGTGGCTTGAAAGGATTGATTGACAAGAGGGAGTGTTGCGACGATGACTTTTCAAAAAGAAGTTATATTTTATTAATACATCAGTATAGTTTAGACTGCAGGTTGCTATCCTGTATCATATGCTAGAGAACTTGAAGATGGAATAACTAAAGAAGACTATATCAAATACATGTGTATTGCAAGTACAGTAGCATACAAAAATCTTTAGATATAGGCAAAGCACAAGGTGTGGGTAGAATATTAGTTTTAGGATAAATGGATAGTTTTCATTTATGGATTTTTCCCTAACTTATCTCTTTCATTTCTGGCAGAAAATAGATCTTAATGTTCCAATTTCATACATTTTAAGATCACAATTGCACAGCAGTTCTGTCATCAAGAAGAACCACACATAGGGAGCAATTTGTAAGAAACACACATTTTCATTCCTGGTCCTTCGCTACTTTAATTTAGGACATACAGAAACAAAAGGAATAGATAATTTGAGGTTAACATTCAACATAAATAGCTTGGTTAAGAGCATTCGTCCCAAATCTACCTAATGTAGCTTTTTTTACGTCAGGAGTGACTTAAGAAACTGCAAGTCACTTCTGGTGTGAGAGAATTGGCCTTCTGCAACGACGTTGCCCAGGGGATGCCCGGATGTTTGATGTTTTACCATCCTTGTGGGAGGCTTCTCTCATGTCCCCAAATGGGGAGATGAAGCTGACAGAGGGAGCTCTTCCATGCTCTCCCCCATGCTCTCTTCAGTCCTGCCGGCACAAGGGTTCCACCGAGAGCTCCTGCCCAATGTAGCTGTGGCAATGGGATTGGGTCATATGAGTTGTTATATGAAGTAAAGCAGGGGTGAGTAACATACTCCCCTCAAGATATCGCTGTTGTCCAAATATTATCAGCATCTGATGAGATGGGTTGCAATTTCCATCTCATCAGCCTGCATGAGATGGAAATTGCATCCCAACCGCATCTAGATTTTGCACTTTTTTCAACTAGTGTAGTGTATTAGAGAAATGAAGACTTTCAAATCCTTCTGATTTTCTTTTATTTACAACATTCTGCTTAGTGTCTGTTATTACCTCAAACTAGTGATGGAGATTGTGTAATCTTCCAAATATTGTTGGACTAGACTAAGACTGTCCTCTCAGTCTTAGCCCAGAAAGCCAGTGTGGGAGGGTATCATCATGGAAATTGTAATCTAACAACACCTGGAGCAGAATGGACTTTGCCTTTAATTGCTGAAAATGTATTAATGGCTATAAGGAACAATGTTAACTTCTTCTTAGGTATATCCTTGGAGAAATTAGCAAGACAGTGTTATCTGTCAAAATAGAAATACATGGAAATAATAAGTTCTTGTTCTTTCCATTGGGAGTAGCTGCGAAGCTTACATTGACTATATTTTTGTTGTGAAGGTGCTATTTTAATTAACACAAAATGAAACCTCTTTGTAGCAGATAGCCCATGTCTTCCTAACGTGGGAGTAAATATTTCATTACTACTTCTCTGAGCACTATTTGGTTTGATCAGCTAACAACAATAGCTGCCTTTTGTTATATAGTAGGAGCAAAAATTGCTTGAGGTGGAGAACTGGAAAACTGCAATCCTTTTTTTATTTTAAACTAAATAGATGCTTCCATTTTGTTTTCAAGCATATTAATAATGTGTCTGGTTTGAGAATTAATGAGGCTTGTTTAAAGTAGGAACTCCACATAGAAATTTCATCTAGCACAAGCATCTCCAATCAATTCAGTATTGGGGAAGAACCTTTTATGGTTATGGTAGGACTGCACTTATATTTTAATATGAGGAAGCTCTTATTCACAGCAAAACTCTATGTACATATTAGAGCATAAGTATAGGTTGTCTGAGTCTCTGGACAATAAAAAGGCTGTATTCCAGTTTGTGAGCATCATAACATGAGGAATTATTGCATTTATATTTGACAATCCTAGTAATTGCTCAATAAGGTATGAGAGTAAATGTGACAGGAATATCTGTATTTGATTCAGATTCATTCATTGTAGTAACCCTTACATCTAAGAAATTCTGGGTGATTTGGCTGTCAGGCTATTATGAATTTGCAGTTATGAAACTGCTTTATTATTACTCCCGCACCCCAAAAAAACCATTAAAAATTATGCATTGAAAGACTAGAGCAGATATTTGTAACCCACTTTGTCAGTGGTAGTTGATATCGAAATTGTGGTCTTTGAAGAAATGTATAGTTCAACAACACTTTTCGACAGTAATTGAGTTGTACGTAAAAGGGTGCTTTATTATAATAAACTCTTTTGATGGTGTACAGATGATAATTACTGTAAAATCAATGAAACATGCTGGCATTTTCAAAGTGTGTAAAAGCCTGTTATTAAAATAATATCAAAACAACTTTTATGTGGGCATTTCTCTATCGTTTCTTTCCTAATACAGTATTTAGAGTATTTTTAATATTATGTTTAGAGTGGTAGCTTGTATCCAATTTCCTTTGCTCATTTTTCAGAGGAGGAACAAGAGGTGAGATTTCTAAATGGCACCCCCTTCACATAGTAAATTTACAAGCTGAGCATAGTTTTCTTCCAAATGTGTGGTTTTACTGCATAGAATCATAGAATCATTCAGTTGGAATGGACCTTGTGGGTCATCCAGTCCAACCCCCTACCAAGAAGCAGGCAAATCACATTCAAAGCACTCCTGACAGATGGCCATCCAGCCTCTGTGTGGTGGTTGCTCCTCCACCACACTCCAGGGCAGACAGTTCCACTGCTGAACAGCTCTCAATATCAGGAAGTTCTTCCTAATGTTCAGTAGAACCTCTTTTCCTTTAGTTTGAAGCCATTGCTCCACGTCTTAGTCTCCAGGGCAACAGAAAAGAAGCCTGTTCTCTCCTCCCTATGACTTCCCCTCACATGCTTATACATGGCTATCATGTCTCCTCTCAGCCTTCTCTTCTTCAGGCTAAACATGCCCAGCTCTTTAAGCCGCTCCTCACAGGACTTGTTCTCCAGACCCTTGATCATTTTAGTTGCCCTCCTCTGGACACATTCCATCTTGTTAACATCTCCCTTCAATTGCAGTGCCCATAATTGGACACCGTATCCTAGGTGTGGTCTGGCCAAGGCAGAATAGAGGGGTAGCATTACTTCCCTGGATCAGGACACTAGACTCCTATTTATGCAGGCCAAAATTCATTGGCTTTTTTTTTTGCCACCACATGACATTGTTGGCTCATGTTTAACTTGTCCATGAAGACTCCAAGAAGTGTTCCATGTTGCACAAGGGGAGAAAATGTGTTCCCAGAGTTTGGGGAAAGTATATGTTGGATTTCAGTTACCAAAACTCTCCAACACATATACCCAGTGGATTTTCTAGTCAAAAAGGGGAAAAAATCAAAGCTCAGTCTGTCTCACTGCATATGAAAATATATAGTATTTCCACATTTGCAGCTTTGTCTTTTGTGAATTTCTTTGTTTATGGATTCCATTAAAAATGTTTGCCCTAGGAATCTCTCACTCCTTCAGTGTCTGCCTGGTCAGCTTCCTCCCATCATGTTGGAGGATTTACAGATTTCTGCAAAGAAAGTATCTATAGGACACTGTTAGCCTCCAGTACAATTCTGTGGTCAGAGTCCATTAGAAGTAACTGTAGAATCGTGCTGAAATTTATTTATTTATTTATTTATTTATTTATTTATTTATTTATTTAGAAGTTTTCTATACCGGCCTTCTCACCTCAGCGAGGGACTCAGGTCGGTTTACAGCATATATGAAAGTACAATAATATATAAGTACAACAATGTGCAACGTCATTACATATTAAAATAGTACAATAAAGTACAATAAAAACATCATCATCATCATGAAAGATCTCAGACATTCCAAGAAAGGTGTTCTCCCAGGTTAAAAAAATTAGCTATTTTTTATTTTGAGTTTTTCACTTCCACAGGCATCCTGTGCCTCTAACTCCAGTGAATATGGAGTTCTGACTATAGTATGCTTCAGAATTCTATTACTGTAGTCTACTAGTGGGCCAAGCCCAACTGTATGGCCAGAAGGTAGTAGCAAATTGACAGAAAGCCTAAAAATTGCTTGACTGCCTTCTCAGTAAAATGTGCTTGCCACAGGTATAACAGGAGTATGACTCAAAAGACAGCAGACCTGATCGTGGCCTGTTCCCATGGTTTTGAATGGTATAGTTTTCCATCTTTAAACAAAAGAGTAAGGAGAGAACCATCACTGCTGTGTGTGTTAATATCACTGACCAACACACAATTTGATGCCTCAAATGTAAGCCCTGTTTCTGAATATATTTGACCTACTAATTCTAAAAATGGCACCAGTTTTCCCAGATGAGCTCTGGTTTTTGAGATACTGAACATATGGCATCAACCGGGCTGTGACACAGCTAGTTAGTAGCCAGCTGCATTAAATCACCACTGACTGAGAAGTCATGAGTTTGAAACCAGTCCAGACTGGAGTAAGCTCCCGACCATTAATAGTCTAGCTTGTTGTTGACCTATGCAGCCCGAAAGTCAGTTGCATCTGTCAAGTAGGAAATTTAGGTACCGCTTTATGTGGGGAGGCTAATTTAACTAATTTATGACACCATAAAACCTTTCAGCAGCATGCAGAAGAATGAGGAAATACTCCATCAGAGGACCCAGTGTCACAAGTGGACGGTGAAGCAGCAGCTCCCCATGTGGCCGGAACCGAGCATACCCTCATGAAGGCGGAAAAAGCTGGAATGTTAAATTGCCTCTGTGTCTATATATGTTGCATGTTTAAATGGCATTGAATGTTTGCATATATGTGTGTATTGTAATCTGCCCTGAGTCCCCTGCATGGTGAGAAGGGAGGAATATAAATACTGTAAATAAATAAGCCAGTCACCATCTGCTCGCCCATAGAAAACCATGATAACAATATCTAGGAAACAACAGCTGTTGTGGACAATCCAATGCAATATTCTGAACCAGTGCCCCAAATAACCCAGGAACGGGCCTAAAAACCAAGACACCTAGAAAGGAAATTGAATAATATTATGAGACATGCCTCTCCTTTAAACTCCTGCAAGGCAGTGAAATTCATGAAAAACCCTTTCTTACATTGTAAAACCAATTTGAAATCAGGCTTGCATCCAAATGTTTGGGAAGCATGCAAAGCCTCTCCCATTTCTATCAAATTGATCCCTGGTCTCTTTTCCCATGTTTTCTTTAGAGTCTGTTTCAACTTACCAAAAACAGGGGAGTGATTAATTTGAATTCATGTGACTTCATCTTCCAGCAGTTTAGCTGGAACTAACATTTCAAACTTTAGTGGGGTTTGCTTCGACTACAAATGCAGGGAAGTCTATGGTTTTAAAACCATGTGATTTAAGATATTTATTGATGTTCATTTTTCTTCCTGGCAGTGATGGAAGCAATCATAGGATAAACAATACTGTGCAGTGATCAAGACTGTGCATGTATAAGACTTGTTCTGAGCAGAGGACTGCTTTCTGTGTGATTATTTTAGGTTTATTAGGAAAAAAAACTATTACACTTTAATTGTGCAGACATCTATCCAGCGACTTTTAGTGTGCCCTTTCATACAGAATTATACTTATAATCAGCCATCCACTATCACTGGGGTTAGGTGTACAGGATCCATGCAAAAGTAGAAAAAAATCAATTAAAGAGTGCGTCTATAAAATGGGGTTGCGACTCAAGAAAGGTTGGAACCACTGATATACCTGTTCTAAGGAAGCCGATAATAATTTCTACTTCAGTGCTGAACATGTTCCTTACACTATAATAGCTCACCTTTTGTTGTCAAATATGAGACTAGCATGAGAAACAAAGTAATTGGTTACACCTCTTAGCCATGTCACCTGGAGAAACAAGGTGTCAGTTTCTTGTTTTTTCCAAGGGCAGATAAGTAACTAAGTCCAATGGAAGGAAAAACAATGATGAGATATAGGCTGAGATGTGATGATTTCCACAACAACAGGGACTTCTGCCAGATCTCCAAAGGACACAAAACCACCTCCAAAGGGGGCTAAGAAGGTAATCCGTTTTTTTATTACCCACTAAAACAGTTTATTGACTGCTTATAAAATACACAAATGAGTTCTAGGTAAAGTGATATTTTAGACCAGGCTTTCTCAACCTGGGGATCGGGACCCCCCTGGGTTGGGTCACGAGGGTGTTTTTGGAGAAGTCACCAATGACCATCAGAAAACACATATTTCTGATGGTCTTAGGAACCCTTTAGCAGAGAAGGCGGAAGATCTCTTTGCCTGTCCTTCTCTTACTTTTTGGAAACAGACAGGGAATCCTCCCACCAAAAGCCCTCCTCCTGCTCTTTGGATGTAGATGAACTAACATTCCAAAACTCAAAATCAAGGCCCACCAATCCCTTCCAGTATTTTCTGTTGGTCATGGGAGATGTGTGTCCCAAGATTGGTTTAATTCCATTGTTGGTGGAGTTTGGAATGCTCTTTGATTGTAGGTTAACTATAAATCCCAACAACTCTCAAATGACAAAATCAACCCCCCCCCCCCCAACCCCACCAATATTCAAATTTGGGCATATCAGATATTTGTGCCAAATTTGGTCCAGTGAATAAAAATACATCCCGCATTTCAGATATTTACATTATGATTAATAACTAGCAAAATTACAGTTATGAAGTAGCAATGAAAATATTTTTATGGTTGGGCGCCACCACAACATGAGAAACTGAATTAAGAGGTTGGAGTATTAGGAAGATTGAGAACCATTTTTAGACCAAACACCTAGTTTTTAGAGTAGCTACTCTTTTTGGAGCAAACATTTATGAATATATGTGAAGAAAAACTTGTTTTGAGCCCAGTTTCAGATCAATGAATAAAGCTTTCCTTATAAAACAGACATGTTGATGGATTGCCCACTGTGTCTCAAGAGGAAGGCAGAACAAATTTTCTTGAAACTTGACAAAGTAGGAAAAGGTTCTCTGTGTGGTTTCAAATGCATACTCAACTTCTAAGCTGCCAAATCTTGTTTCTTTTTTATTCCTCCTAGGTGAAAATACACATTTTTCCTCTTACATTGACACTGGAAATTCTGCTAGGATTGAAATAGTCTGTGATGTGAAGCCTGAAATCAATGCCTATGGCTGATAAATCTTAATTGATCATGAGCTGTAGTTGCATGGTGATTGATATTCTGCATTTTTGCAATATAAACATTCTATTGAATACAACCCAGATAGCACAGAAGCATCATGGCTTTGCTATGCTTGTGTATTGCCTTCGCTAAGTTTTGCTCTTCAAGAACTTTTTTCAAGGCAGCTATGATGCCAATAGCTTACCAAATCAATTTAATTTCTATCTAGCATCAAAGATTCATAGAATCATTGAATAATTGAGTTGG